CCGGCTTTTCAGGCCTCTGTTGCAAGAACTTTGCAACCCTTTTCGCGCCCCTTTTGGCTGGTTATTTTAATGAATTGCGACAGGGTTTTCTGCCCTCTCCAGATGTGCTTAGAGCTCATATCTTAATGATTCCTAACACAACGGAAGATGTACAGGACACCGCAAGCCTTTCAACCCATTTCTCTTCTTAATGAGGATCTGAAGATATTGGGCAAGATTCTCTTAGTATCAATAAATATTTGCAGAGTCTGGTCCACAGGGACCAAGTCAGTTTCGTCCCTGGGAGGCAGGTGGGAGATAATGTTCATAAAGTAGTTCACCTTATACACCTTTTGCAAGAGCGCAAAATTCCGGGATTTTTACTGTCTTTAGATATATACAAAGCTTTTGATTCCTTATCTTGGGAATATCTGCAGTTTGTGCTGTCCTGTTGGGGCTTTGGGGATTCTATCCTTTCTTGGATCCAGACCTTGTATTCTTCTCCTTGGTTTTGGTTAAGTATGCAGGCTATTTCTCAGATCCCTTTCCCATTTGGCGAGGAACGAGACAGGGATGCCCCTTGTCTCCAGCGCTCTTTGTCCTGGCGCTTGAGCCGCTGGCTTTGGCGTTCCAGGCTGATTGTAATACATTGGGTGTCCCTTACGCGGGACAGGAATTTAAGTTGAATATTTTTGCGGATGATGTCCTCTTGATTTGCACTAATCCATTGATGATGCTTTCAAACTTACAACAGGCTCTTGCGGGTTTTTCATTGATTTTGGGTCTCTGTATTAATTTGGATAAAACTGTCGTTCTCAATATTGTTCTGGCCTCAGATTTGGTTTTGCGCCTGCAATCCCACTTCCATTACAATTGGGCTTCTTCTTCATTGGAATACTTGGGCATTCACCTTTGTTTGCTGCAAATTATTATCCATTGATTAGCTCTGTGTCCTCCCCTATGCAGTGTTGGCAATTCCCACACCTATCCTTGACAGGATGGGTTAATTCGGTGAAAATTACTATCCTGCCTAAATTGTTGTATTTTTTTCAAACCATCCCAGTGCGGGTTGCTCCTCATTTTCTTTGGTTGATTCAGGTGAGGATTATGAGATCTATCTTGGCTAACAGATGCCCCAGAGTCTCCAGAAACACGCTTTTTGTCCAAAGACTGCAGGGAGGTCTTGGGGTACCTAATGTAGCTAAGTATTACCAGGTGTGCCAGATTGCCCCCCTATCTAGGTTTTACGCTTCCTCTGATGTCCCACTATGGGTCCTTTTGGAATTGCCCAACTGTGCTCCCATTGCAACATTGACGCTTTTATGGCTCCCCCTGCCCAATGCCCGAGGACAATGCTCCATGGCCTATGTGTGTGGGATTTGGTACGCTATTCTAATGGCTTGATGTCGCCCTTTTTACCTTTGCTCCCCATTGTCAATAATCCTCTTTTTCCTCCAGGTTTGGATCAGCCAGGGACGTTCTCTTGGTGGTGGCCAATGGTTTTTCGCAGGTGCGACACTTTTTGACCTCTAGATTCTTCCCCACCTGGAACTCTCTTTGGGAATCACGGGATGTCCCTCAGATGGACTTTTTCCATTAACTTCAGTTGCAGCACTGGTTGACCTCACTACGTGGCACTTCTGCCTTTCCATATCAGAAATCTGTCTTTGAACAGCTTTGCCAACAGCATCCGAGCCTTGTTTCCCTAATTTATGCATCCTTGAATAGGCACTCAATGCGTACTTCTCTATCATATGTTGCCCAGTGGGAGCATGACTTGGGGGCGGTCATGGATCTGGAGGACTGGAACAAGGCCTGGGCGTTTATAGCTAAATGTTCATTTAATACAGCCACACTGGAGGCAGCATACAAAGTACTGTTTCGTTGGTATCGGGTCCCAGCTCATATAGCCCAAGCGAACCCTGCCTATAGTGATCGCTGCTTTCAGAGTTGAGGCCATCATGGAGATGTGTTGCATATATGGTGGTCATGCCTGAGACTGGTTAATTTTTGGACTTGTATGTTTGGCCTTCTTTACACCTTGTTCTATCTCTCCATATGACGGGAGGCTTGGTGTGCTTTGCTTCATTGTCCCATATCAGGCCTGTTGGCTCATCAGCAGAAGTTGGCTTCCTATTTGTTTTTGTCTGCCACTAGAATGATTGCTCAAGCCTGGAAAGGCCCGTCTGTCCCTCTTCAGGGGGTGCAGGACTGTATGACCACTCTGATGCTCAATGAACAGATGTTGAGTATCCGTCATGACTCCCAATGAAAATGTTTCTAAAATATGGGTGCCGTGGTTGACATATGCTTTTCCCACGCTACCCCTGGCTAATCTGGGTTTATGATTCTGTACGGTATTGGTGTTCCTGGATCCCTGCTTCTGGTCTTGTTTTCCTCTTCCTTCTTTGCTCTTTTTCTTCTTTATTTCCTGTTTGATTCTGTGAGATACTTGCCTTTGGCTGGAATTTTTGTTGATGTTATATCACTGTTTTTGTATGGTATGTGCCATTGATAGCCTCTATGTGGGTGCACCTTTTGCATTGCTGCTGTTATAGCACTGTGCACTTTATTTTTTATGTGTCATTGATAGCCCCTATGTGGGTGTGTCTTTCGTCTAGTCCTTCTTTGTTAAATTGTTTAAAAAAGTTAATAAAAACCATTGCAATACAAAAATGTCTATATAGAGGGATGCAGAAGTTTTTTCTCAAGGTATTTCACAATCTGCTTCATTAGAAGAAAGGCATCAATAGAAAGGCTAGTCCTGTAATATCATAATAAATATATACTGTATGTAAACAGTATTGTATTCACACATATAGTTATATTAATGTTGACATTACTGTTTACATCGTCCCCAATTTGTGCCATATTGCACATATCAAATCACACCTTATGATGAACAAAATGTCTCATTAGGACAACTGGGGTCTAATGCAAACCTGCTTAACCTGGAACTGACATCAGCATTTCAATTCAATAATCAGTGCCAGTGGAAATATTCATGTGCCTACTTTGATTGTATTAAAGTGGTATTAAATGTTAGACTTTAAAAAAGAAAAAAAACAAACATGTTATACTAACCTGATCTGTGCAGTGTTCCTGGCTCTTCCCCCTTGACCAGTATCCCCTATAGAAAGCTACTTGCTATGGGGGCACTGGTGCATTTTCGCTCCTGAGCCCTGCTTTATGCATCCATAAGATACATATAGCTGCAGGCTTGGCCCTGCCCCCTCTCCTCATTGGCTTACTGGCTGTGATTGACAGGGAGTCCCGGGACAGCCGAGGCTCTTTCGCACATCGCTGGATCGACAGTCAACTCACGTAAGTATTGGGGGGGCTGTGAGGGAAGCAACACAGAAGGTTTTTTTTACCTTTATGCATAGAATGCCTTAAGGTACTAAACCTTCAGCCTTTACAACCACTTTAAGAGGATTAGATTTACTGATGATAAACTGACACTGATTACACCAGAAAACATTTCACCCTACTAGAGTCTCTGAAAAATATAGCATGCCAAAGGGGTACTACCATTTTTCGGGGACCCCTAGACCATGGGTGTCCAATCTTCTGACTCCCCTGGACCTCATTGGAAGAAGAGGAATTGTCTTGAACACATACAAAACACTAACAATAGGATAGTTGATCACCAAAAAAGTCAGACAGATGATCAAATTTCAACTTGTGCTGTGTGTGTTCAGGCTGTGTGCATACAGCGAAAGGATGGGAGACAGTTAGGCACAGTGTCAGGGGTTGGGGGCTTAGGGGAGGTTGCAACTGAAATTTGGGGGGACTCAGCCACCCCAGCACCCCCCTAGATTTGGCCATGTAGCACTTACTTGGCTGGCACTAGCTAACGGGGGTCCCTGCATGTGCCACTGGTGCTATTTCAAACACAGCTTCCCTCCAGAAGGTCCTGGGCCCTGCTTGTCTGTGCTGGCCAATGCTGTAGGCGCTATGCTAAACATGGCATCATCGGCATCCCTCCAAACATGAATATTCATAGCTGCAAGTTTAAAATTTTGTTTTGGGCCACATGCAAAGACCTCTTGGGCTGTGGGTTGACACCCGTGCTTTAGACAGGTGGACTTCCAAAATCTTGTCAAGAAAATGTTTTAAAATGTACTACTAATTCTGACTACTAGAGACTTAGGGGATGATTTACTAAAGGAAAATAGAATGTGCCCTTTGTAAAGTGCAGTTGCTCCAGAGCTTAGTAAATGAGGTAAAGCTTCCCTTTGCCAAGAATACCCAATCACATGCAAGCAAAAGAAATAAAAACAACATTTTTGCATGCACATGATTAGATGAACGAAGTCAGCAGAGCTCCTGCTCATTTACTAAGCTCTGGATCAACTCCTCTTTTAGATTGCAATTGCATTTTGCAATGTGCACAGTCTAATTGCCTTTAGTAAATGAACCCCTTAATCTGTAGAATATTTGATGTTAGTATATTGGTCCTAACACTTTGCACACACTAGGGTTGATTTTCTAAAGACAAACAGTTGTTCACTTTGCAAGAAAAGTTGCACTGTGTAAGGGAATTTTCCCCAGGGTTTAGTGAACGTAGTAAAGTTTCACTTTTTTATTGAAAAGAATACCCAATCATGTGCAAGGAAAATATTTCTCTTTGCATGCACATGATTGCATGGTGAAAGTTAGCAAAGCTTTGCCTCATTCATTAAGCCTTGAGAAAATTTCCTTGCAAAGTGAACAGTCTATTTGTCTTTAGTAAATCAACCTCACTGCTTTCACCCTGTACTGTTTCTCTGAGTGCTTGCTTCTAAAAAGAGGCTTAGTGGCTAGAACTTCTGCCTTGCAGAACTAGGATCCTTATTTAACCGCCTCCCGCCCATCATATAGTACAATGACGGGCGCAAGGCGGTTCTCTCGTTCTGGGAGGACGTCATATGACGTCCTCCCATTCTAACAGAGCATGCGTGGCTCCGGGAGTGCGCGGCGATCGGCGGGACACAGCGGATCACCGATCAATGGAAAGAGCCGAAGATGTTGGCGTGGTCATGTGATGTGTCCAATGTGATCAGCTGTGTCCAATCACAGCTGATCACATGTAAACAGGGAAATGCCACGCTGACAGCTCGTGAGGAGAGGAGAGCCGGTAATCAGCATTCCTCGGAGGGGACATGTACACAGATCATCAGAGCACTGATAATCAGTGTGCCCTGATGATCTGTGTAGACCCAGCAGTGCCACCTGTCAGTGTCCATCAGTGCCAGCTGTCAGTGCTCATCCATGCCACCTGCCAGTGCCCATCAGTGCCACATTTCAGTGCCCTTCAGTGTCACCCATCAGTGCCAGTCAGTGCCACCTATCAGTGCCGCCAACCAGTGCTATTCAGTGCCGCCTATCAGTGTGCATCAGTGCCGCCTATCAGTGCCCGTCAATGCTGCCTATCAGTGCCACCTAACAGTGCCAGTCAGTGCCACTTAACAGTGCCAGTCAGTGCCGCCTATCAGTGCCATATATGAGTGCTGCCTTTCAGTGCCCATCAGTGATGCCTGTCAATGCTCATCAGTGCCACCTACCAGTGCCCATCACTACAGCCTCATTAGCGCACATCAGTGAAGGAGAAAAATCACTTATTTACAAAATTTAATAACAAAAACTAAGAAAAAAAAATTTTTTTTTCAAAATTTTCAGTGGTTTTTGGTTTGTTTAAGAAAAAATACAAAACCCAGAGTTGATTAAATATCACCAAAATAAGGCTCTATCTGTCACAAAAAAAAATTCTAAAAATTTCATATGGGTACAGTGTTGCATGACCGCGCAATTGTCATCCAAAGTGTGACAGCGCTGAAAGCTGGAAATTGGCCTGGGCAGGAAGGGGGTATAAGTGCCCTGTAGGCTAGTGGTTATATCCCAGCCAGGACACTATCTGCATAAAGCTTTCATGTTCTTCCTGTGTTTGCATGGTTTCCCTCCCACACTCCAAAGAAATTCTGGTAGGCCAAAGGCTCCAATCTAAATGAGCTCTTTTATGTGTATGTATACCTGTGAGATAAGAATCTCAGGTCTTTACACCCCTGTCACACCAAAACAGACTTTGAAATCGTGTGACTTACAGTGAAGTCGCAATATTTCAAAGTCGGATGACATGCTGATCGCAGGTGCGATTTGCAAGACATCTGACACAGATGTTTATGCAAATCACATCAAAGGTAGTGCATGTACGACCTTAGAAATCGGTGCAGCTCTGACCAAGTCAGAACTGCACCGATATGATCGCTCTAATTACAGACAATAAGGTGCGACTTGGCATGTAATTTGCAAGTTGCACGGGCATGCACATCGCATGCCAATTCACATTCAGTGTGACCAAAGACTTAAGGGCAGGTGCGGATGTGATCTCTGCTTCAAATTGTCAGATCTGTACAAATACCTGTAATAAATACATCCCACTTTTCATCATCTTAGTTAAACTATAATAGCAATACGTATATGAAATGCTCGCTTTAGGATCAATTAACACCTAAAGATGGCTTGTTCAAATATAAATATTTGCATAACAGATGAGGAACACAGCTGACAAAGTAATTATATTATCAAAATATGACTTGGAAAAGATACATAACATAGAATCAAAAAGCTAAAAATAGCAGTAGAAGGGAATAAAACTCTGTGTTTACATATATTACTAAAAAAGCTGTCATCATTTAAGAACAAAGGTGTAAGTTATACTCAATGAACTGTTAACATTACTGAAAGAAAAAAAAAACCCTAAACACTGAACATTTACTTTATTGTTCCTAAGCATAATTGATGCATTATGTAAGAAAGCACTGAGCAAATTTCAGATTTACAGCTACCAATCAGAATACATCTTTCATTAATCTCAGAGCAGTAAACCAAATTCTGAAGTCTGAGTTGCTACAATTTCAATGCAAGCATTATTCTTTGCCCTACCTTGTTAATAAAGCCTAAATGAATTTGTTCAACCTTCATATCTTCACTAAACTGTAATATATTATGCAATTACAGTTGGTTGTGGCCAAAATATGAAACTACAAAGTTCATCTAATGTCATTATCTGAAATTGCACTGGGGTTTACCTGTTCAATCAGCATCTTTTATTTGAAGTTTTATTTTATACCCATGAGCACTTCTATTTTCCAATATAGATCACATTCATACAGGCAATTAAAGTTAAAACAATGCTGTTCAAGGGAACATAAATGAACATTTCATAATACGTGTGTCTAGGTTAGTAAATGTATTATCTGCATAAAAGTTGCCTTGATCTGAATCTTTTGAAATCTGAAAATATTTTAACATTTTTCAAGATATATTTTTTTTCTTAAAGAAATATTGTACATTCTAAGCCTTCAAAACATCAATACATGTTACATATATGTTTGTGGTCCATGTCTGACTTGTGCCATGACTGCAAAGTTTTCTTCCACAAAGTGTTTTTGTTGAATAAGCTTTCATTGAAAAATTGCACTTAAGTTCCACTCAAATAAAACTTCTAGTGCTCTCTTTAGACCTAGGGAGAGATTTATTAAAACTGGTGCTTTCAGAATCTGGTGCAGCTGTGCATGGTAGCCAATTAACTTCTAACTTCAGCTTGTTCAATTTAAGCTTTGACAAAAAAAAAAAAAAAAATTGGAAGCAGATTGGTTTCTGTGTTGCAACAGATTTTGCACTCTCCAGTTTTAGTATATAACACCCCCAAATCTTTATTCTCACAATGGTTTTTAAATGCCAGTGCCAACCCCATCTGTAGATCCACTACTTTAACAATGTAAGCACATTAATTTCTTTTGAGTTTGAAGAGTTAACTCTTTACCTCATAATATTGTCTTCTGTGATTTGAATGGTAATACATTCATTACAATGAGTACAATTAAGGGAAATCATTACATATAACCCTGAAACAATATAACACATACATTTTGCTTGGCTGTTTAGAGTTAATCTCAGCAAAAACTTATTCCGATGGAAGGATATCTACTATATTCACATATATGGGTCTAACATGGCTAGCCAGCAGCACTATCCTTTGCTAACCAATTTTTGCTTGATTGAGAATGGAAACCATTAATGATCCTAATTATACAGACTTTATTTTTGGTTATTTCAGTTTTGTCAATGATGTTCTGCAATGTTGGAAAGGCCCTGAGGAGATTTTCAACAGAATGCTAGAGGTTGCAAATTTGGGCGATGATACAATTTAATTCACTGCAGAATGTTCCCAAGAGTCCATTAATTATTTGAATGTCACTGTCTCCAGCATAAATGGTAAAATAGTTAGACATATTCTGAAATTCATTAGAACCATATAATCTGTTGTACAATGTTTTTATACTGATAATAAAGGGATGGCTATTCCAGGAGGCAATTCCTCAGGGTCTGCAGATTTACACCCCCTGATAATGGCTACAAAATTTCTGCTCACAATTTAAGTATAAACTTATGGATATTACCTAACCAATGTACATTCTTAAAAGTTAATTATGAGGTGAAAAATGTGATAGGGATGAATTTCTATCTTAGCCAAAAATAAAATCATTTTCCATTAGTTACCAAGCACTGTAAGTTCTCAAAAAATTTTATGGAGAATTACTGGCTACTGTTAATGCAGAATACAACTTTTTGATAATTATTTGTTGAACTAAAACTGGCTTAAAAATTTGAGAGAGAGGGAAGGAAAATGCTGCATCTGTAACGGCTGGCTAAAATATAAAGCTATATGAAGCAAATGTAAGGTGTACATTCATTTTTGGAAGTGGATGGCCTATTGCTTAACAATGACACTGTGTTGATCCCCCCACCATTCCCTTACAAATAAGGCCACACAATATAGTATTTACTACCAATATAATAACTACTTTCATGGTTTCTAGGTTAACCCAGATACAGTATATGCTTTCCTTTGTCTGTAAAACAGCTGTTGTAATAAAAAGGTAACTCGGCTTCAAATCATATAAATGGTTCTTAAATTCCCATTGTTCATTAAAGGGTAGATTTACCTTTCAAATATATATATATATATATATATATATATATATATATATATATATACACACATACTATATTGCCAAAAGTATTGGGACACCCCTCCAAATCATTAGATTCATGTGTTCCAATCACATCCATGAGGGAAGATGTCACTAGCCTGATGAAGGGGTCCTGCTGGACTCCGAAACGTTGCCTTGTTGTAACTATGTAATCGTTCATTAAAACTTTTAGACCCATATTGGTGATCCTCGGTGTGCTGGTGACATCCTCCCTTGCTGATTCTGTTCAGTTCCCGCTGACGATCGCTGCAGCACCCACTTATACACACAGCCATTTTTAACACAGGAACGTATGCATTTGGATTGTACACTTCCAATCACCTCCATGGCCACAGGTGTGTAAAATCAAGCACCTAGGCATGCACACTGCTTCTACAAACATTTTTGATCAGGAGCTCAGTGAATTCAAGCGTGGTACCGTGATAGGTTGCCACCTGTGCAATAAGTCCATCCATGAAATTTCCTTGCTACTAAATATATTTCACAGATGTGTCTTGGTTTGGCAGTTGCCAGGCGAACGGTACCTGCCTGACTGCATTGTGCCAAGTGTAAAGTTTTCAGGGGTTTGGCTTGGTCCATTAGTTCCAGTGAAGGGAAATCTAAAGGGTCAGCATACCAAGACATTTTGGACAATTTCATGCTCCCAACTTTGTGGGAACACTTTGGGGTTGGCCCCGTCCTGTTCCAACATGACTGTGCACCAGTGCACAATGCAAAGTCCATAAAGACATGAATGAGAGAGTTTGGGGTGGAGGAACTTGACTGCCCTGCACAGAGTCCTGACCTCAACCTAATAGAACACCCTCGGGATGAATTAGAGTGGAGACTGTGAGCCAGGCCTTCTCGTCCTCTATCAGTGCCTGACCTCACAAATGCTCTTCTGGAAGAATGGTCAAACATTCCCATAGACACACTCCTAAACCTTGTGAACAGCCTTCCCAGAAGAGTTGAAGCTGTTATAACTGCAAAGGGTGGGCCAACTCAATATTGAACCCTGCAGACTAAGACTGCGATGCCATTAAAATTCATGTGCGTGTTAAGGCAGGCATCCCAATACATTTTGCAATATAGTGTGTGTGTGTGTGTGTGTGTGTATATATATATATATATATATATATATATATATATACACACACGTACAGTAAATGTATATACTGTACACACTCACCAGCCACTTTATTAGGTACGCCTTACTAGTGCCAAGAAAAAATCCCCCACACCATTACACCACCACTAGCCTGAACTGTTGACCCATGCCTTTGTTTTTTACGCCAATTTCTGACCCTATCACCTGAATGTCACAGCTGAAATCAAGACTCATCAGACCAAGCAACATTTTTCCAATCTTCTGTTGTCCAATTTTGGTGAGCCTGTGCCAACTATAGCCTCCGTTTCCTGTTTTGGTGTGGTCTTCTGCTGTTGTATCCCGTTTGCTCCAAAGT